GACTTTCTTCCAGTCTGCAACAGTCCAATTCCTTCCTTTCCATTGCCCACTCGAGTCAAATTTTCCGATTTTTTTTCCAAGACTCGAGGCTTTTTTAAAGGAATACACTTCTTCATGAGTGCATGGTGAAGTGTTCTTGTTGAAATTCGTCGGTTTTTAGCTTCAGAAATTGCTTCAGAAATTTCTTAGATTTTTGTCGTCGTGTTTTTTGTTCGCAGTAACAGCGGTTTTCAATTTTTGTCGATCCCGCTGATTGAGGCCGACCTAATAGTTTTTGCGGAGATTTTCCTGATTAGGCTGCAAAAACCCGTTGAACTGTTGTGCGATGGCACTCTATCATTATTGCGACTGTTGCATCATTGTAACCTGGTTTTTGTTGCACCTTTTGAGAATCAGTAAGGGCTTTGTCGAAACTCGTCTATGCGCCAAGGTAAAAAATAGGGGTATTTTTTTTATGGTCATCACAACCTGTTTTATTAAATCAAAATAAACATTCCATTTAGGCAAAATGTACAGTAGATGGTACAAAATTTAGTTTTTTTATTACATATAAATTTTTTTTCAATATTATAAATATAAAGTGTGCAATACTTTTGTTCCCCCCTGTATAGATAAAAAAGAGTCCAAATTATTTACTTCTCAAATAACATCACATTTATGCATAACGTATAAAAGTAACATGACCGACAATTAGAACTGTTGTGGAAATGAGGTAAATACGTACGTATCAGGAGGGCGGCGGATAATGTAGATGGTTCCATGAAATGGTGGGTAGACCGCTAAAGCTGCTTTTTCAATTAGATTAATATATATACACATGAAAGACCCTAATAGGAACAAGGATGGTTTTATGAAAGATTTCTATATTACAGTCGGGAGTTATTCGAATTTGTACGTTCTAATTAACGTTTTAATTTCATCCATATTTTTTTGCAATTCAAATATTGATTGGCTGGTTTCTAGTGGTCCACCTGAGAGATAATAAAATAGATTCATATCATTTCCTCGGACAGGGATGTCATTTCCGCCAAACCAATTATGACCCTCTTTGAGAATTCGGGAGAAAACATCAAAGGAAAGATTGCTTGCCCAGGGACTCCGAATTTTGTTTTGAATAGGTTTTTTCCGATCTGGATCGAGAGTACCCATATGCGTCAATTTGAGATCGATAAGCCTACTGTCATATTACCTACCAAATCCACCAATCTTTGGATAAAGTATCGACTGATGTGCGCGTTCTGCGTAAAGACATTCGACTACATCAAGATTAATAAATGGTTTGCCCATTCTTACTGCGTGAAATAATGCATGGGTTCTCCCATGTCTGCCAATCAGCCACTTGGCTTTCGTTGAAGGTAAATTGTTCCATTCACGTGAACACTTGGCAAGAGACGTAGGATTCCTCAATTGGAGAATAATTTACACTTTGAGCTCTGGCGCTAAATTGTTCAGACATATGCGTGGAGGAACTATCGCTCCTACAACAATATCATTAATAAGACTCGATGAGGAAGTTGGCCAGTTGATAAGGGTGACACCTGATCTAAACTACAGCACAACTCGTTGCTCATACTTGTATGATCGGGGAAGTTTTCACTAGCAGATTTGGTCTGCTTCTGACGGTTTAAATTCAACTTTGAATCTTTTATCTGTTATCTAATTCCTGCAATTTATTGTTTATTAAAACGGAAGACAAGACAAGAGACGGATAAAAGTTACAAAGTTTGGCTTTTCCTATACGCGCGATTTATCAAATATCTAGTAACGAGACTTTGCGCCAAAGCTTTACTAATACGTATTCGTATACGATAGGCGAACATTTTAGACTCGTATAAGCTTGACCGTTATTGCTTAGATGGACGTTCCCAATTCTGTACTTTTCAATTTTAAACAAATTTTCTCTTGGGCTCATCAATCGTGTTGACAAGCGCATCGTAATGTTTAAAGTTCTTTCTTTCTTCGTAATGATAGATAAGTATGTCTCGTATGTCTCTAAACTTGCGCCTAAATAATATCAAAGCAGTCCAAATCCAAGCGATATATCAGACTATATAGTTTCTCAACGACTTGAATCTAAACCCGGTTTGGAAGGACTTGGGTAAGGGAGAAGTGTATGACGCGTCATTTACATTATTAACTATTTCATGGTACCCCCGTTTTTCTTCGACATTAACTAATTTCGTGCAATAACATTTAGTCGTCTCACGTTCTCGATGATGGATAGTCATAAATTTACCCTGACTTCTTTCTCTCAAGAATATGGGAACAGAGCAAACTTGTTTTCCCTCAATTTGGTTCTCGCCTGGCTAATGGCTAACGGACCAGATAACAAAAAGACTTCATGTCATTTCTGTCAACCGATCATGATTCTCTTTGACAATTGAATAAATTTTTTCCGACCCAGATCGAGCGTTTCCATCAATTTGAGACCAATAATCCTACTGTCATACTTGTCAAATCCGAGCACCAATTGTCTGTTTTAGGTTTCTGTTTGTACAAGAGCTAACTTTATTGTAAAGACGGAAAGCTTTCTATCGGACAAAACTTCCTTTCAAAAGTAAGTATAGCCAATCAGTTTCAACCCATTCAATTATTGCTAAATCAGTTTCGTGTATACACTGCATTCACATGCATTTGACAATAACATTCAAAATTGCCTAATTCAACAACATACGTTCATACTTTGAATACAGGTTTATACAAATAAAAATACTTGCTGCAAACTTTAATCGAAATGGATGTTCGGGGCATATACCAAATAAATCAGCAAAGGCCGAATTAACAGGTACACAAAAATGGTGCATATTGGAGTCTGCATTTGCAAGATATCAACTGCAGAATGAAAAGACAAAAATTTTAATATGCAACTAGGATTATGCTGGTAATCATCAAACAACCCGTCGAGTGTTCACTCATGTGCGCTCAATAAAGAACCCGAAATCAAACAACTCGTTTTTAGAGTGCAGTCAAACCTCGGAAAACCGATGTGGCTGTCCTCACCATTTTCTATCGGTATCGGTTTTCCGAGGTTTTTGCTTCTTATTGGCTAATGCGAAATCTTCATATGTAGAATTGATAACGTGATCATTGGTTGACCAATGAAATTGCAAGAATCAGGACACGTAATTTGTACTACATTATATCGGTTTCAATCCAATCTATTATGACTATCGCCAAAAAAATATCGGTTTATCGGGTTTGCGAGGTCTATATTAATGCGTATATCGGTTTTACGAGGGGTTTATCATATATAAATTGCACGGGAATTGAAAAAAGTATCGGTTTTGCGAGGTATCGGTTTTTAGCGGTATCGGGTTTCCGAGGTTTGACTGTATTAGTATAACTAATAGATGACAAGGTAATTGAAATAGTTTCGGATTTGAAAGGAAGTAATTCCTTTTCAAATTTATCGAGTCACACAAACTATTTTTGCAAAAAAATAACGATAATAAACGAAACAACAGACGTTTAGTATAACGTAGTTACTCTATTTAGTAGAGATCGAGAAAAGAAAGCTTGCTGAGTGGTTAACAAGACGACTACAAAACCCTAAACCAGGACAACAAGGGGTTAAGACAGTACACCACTTGTTCATTATGCATTTTTTTTAAATAATTATCGATCTAACTGAAGGAACAAACGAGGATTCTTGCTTTTGTAAATACTTAATTTAGCAACCCTTTCAAAAAAACCAAATGGAGATAAAGAATTCAAAATAAACAATCGAAAGTATTGTAAAATAAAATAAAATATTTATTTTCAATTCTCCGAAGGCAAAACTATATAAATGGATAGGCCCACAGACAGCATTACAATATTTCGACTTGGCTCGAAATAATAGTGATTGTATATTTGTTATCCACTACTAGAATGAAAACTAATACAGAATATAATTTAGATAGGTTAGCGATTGAACTTAAAATAGAAATTATACTCCACTTGAGTAATCCTACACCACTTGCTCGATGCTCGCGTGAGTGGTACGCTACAATAAACTCACCTGCTACAAAGGCCAAATGGCTAATCGGCAGATATGGTAAAAACCATGCGTTATTTCATGCAGTAAGAATGGGCGAGCCATTCGTTAATGTTGACGTAGTCGACTGTCTATTTGCTCAAAAAGCACATCTCAGCCGATACTTTATTCAGCGAGTGATGTTTGGCAAGTATGACAGCCAGCTTATTGACCTCAAATTGACACACAACATAAGACCACTCGACCCGGTTCGAACCAAATTGATCCAAAATAAAATCCAGAGCCCGTGGGCGAGTAATCTTTCATTTAATGTTTTTTCCAGAATTCTCAAAGAGGGCCATGACCAATTTGACGGAAATGACACATCCACGCACGGAAATGACATGGAGTCATTTCATTATCTCTCAGCTGGTCCGCTAGTTATTAGCGAAGCAAGAAAAAAGCTAGAGGATAATATAAACGAAATTGAAAGGTTGATCACAACGTTTAGATTTGTTCCCTTTCCTCCTAGGCCCAAAATCCGAAAGCATATGAGTACGGAATTATCACGTACTACTAACTGTGATGACTACCCGCCTATTGATGGCTACGAGAACGTTCGCCAATTGAATGTCATTGCTCGGGCTATACTCGTCCATCCCAATTTAGTGAATGTCTGGAAAAAAATTGGATATCATGAAATCGTTCACGATGTAAATGATCTTGTCATGCAAGGCTCGCTATTAATTCTTTATCCCCCCACCCCAACAGCCGGTTGGATTAAACCAGGTTTAGATCAAGTTGTTAAACAACTAAATGATCTGCAAAACATTGGATTCAAACTAACAGATGGGTTGATCGGAGA